CCCCAAAACCCCAAAACCCCAAAACCCCAAAACCCCAAAACCCCAAAACCCCTGCTTATCTAAGCATTTAACTCGATTAAACTTTGAGAAATATTTTAAAAATGGAAAAAGCAGATAAAATCAATTAAAATAAGCAGTCTAAATATCAAAATATTTGCCAGGTTACTCATATATCTTTAGGATTTTTATTCCTATATGTTGCATTTAACAGCACTTAGAATCTAACCTCAATACTCTTGGACTAGGACGGGTACGGCAAACTTGGATTCTATTCACTTGGTGTCTAAGCAATATTCTAAGGTATTGGATCTCTCATGTCTTCTGGAATCGTCAATAAATTTGGAGTAAAGACGAGCATGGTCTTAGGTGCTCTCTTTAATTCATCATGGGTACTGCAAAGTCTTATCCCAGCTTAAAGATATTATAATCAAGATTCTGATAATTGGGCTTACAGTGAGACTTTTTACTACATTATAAATATAATTGTATCCGCAGCAAGTGGATTCATGGGTTCAATACTTTGGGTGGCTGAGGGTAAATACATCAGCGAATGTGCTACAGAAGAGACTAAAGGATTTTACTTTAGTTATTTCTGGATGTTTTATATGCAATCTTAGGTATTTGGTAACCTCATTGCAGCTTTAGTCCTTGGTGAGATGGACTAAGTCAGCTATTTCATTATTATGTCGGTAATTGCATTCATTGCATCAATAAGCTTTGCATTTTTAAGATAACCTAAGAAAGTAGCTACAAATGAAGAAGTTAGTATTTCATTATTTACACCAGAAAATATTAATCTCAGCTCAGCTCATAATAGAGAGAGTACACCTGATTTTAACAGTAGTGCTGGTTTATTATAAAGTCAAATGCCGAAGAAAAGAGGATTTTGGAATGATGTACATAGAGTTTGGTCATTGATGATATCAAAGAGAATGCTGCTATTTTTACCTCAACTACTTTGGATTGGAGTTAGTATAGCAATTTATAGTGGGTTACTTGTAACTATTATCTAGACTTCTCTAACAGAGGAGACCATAGACAAAAAAAATGAAAAATCTATGTTGGCATTGGTTGCTTTCGGCTTTGGAGAGATATTTGGTGCTTTAATTATAGGTTAAATCGTAGATCGAGTTAATAGCCGTATTGCATCTCTATTTAACTGCCTTTTTATTGCTATTGCTACAATACTCACGATTATTTTCTTAAAACATGAATAGTATAACTGGTTCACATTCTTAATGGCTTTTATGTGGGGAGTGGAGGATGGCTCAGCAAATACCCATGCGCTTGAGATGCTTGGATTCGAATTTGATGATAACACAGATCCTTTTGCAATATTTAGCATGTTTGAGGCTCTTGCGGTGTTTATTTTTCAAATAATTCAGAGCAGAGTTAATGACACCTAGAAATTCATAATATACATAGCTGTTGTTGGTGGAGTTGGCACTGTAATGTGTGGAGCTACCTATTTCTTTAGTTTCAAAGAAAAAAGATCAAATAATAAAGAATTAATGAATCAAGAGTAATGAGCTTAGTGTTAAAATTTCATACAAATTACAAACAAATAATTCAAAAATTTACAAGATATCGAGGAATATTGAAATTTTAAACTTATATGAAACTTAAATCATGCTTGATTATTTTTGTAATTATAATAATCAAAATCATTAACAAAATACTTATCAAAATATAATTTCTATATTCCCAATTATTTTATGATCATGGGGTTTTGGGGTTTTGGGGTTTTGGGG